AAGTACCCTTAAAAAATTATTTTCTTTCTAAAACTTAAATACCGGGCTTTCAAATACTATAGCCATTATACTTTATCTCTTGCTTTTTTATATATGGATAATTAAAAGTAAAATAACTAAAATAGGAAATCTATGGTGATGAAAAATGATATACATCATTCGTCAACACGAAGAACGTGATACTTTATAAAGCTATGTTTACATAAATAAGATAGATAAACCCTACAAAATATTCAGGGGTCTGTCCAGGTTTTTCTGAGAGGTACCTATTTTGTGAAAATTTAGAAATAATTTGTGAAAATTTAAAAATTATATTAAAAAATCAACACAAAAATAGGGATTTATTGTTTTTTAAGGATACAAAAATTAAATTTTAAGAGAAAGTATTTTGTGAAACTACCATTTTTCCTAAAATTGAATTTGTGAAACTACCGTTTTTCCTGAAGTTGAATTTGTGAAGGTACCGCTAAATGGTAGTAAATTCGGCATGGACAGACCCCTGATATTAGTTGCCAAAGGAAAAAACAGAATATCATCTAGAATTTATGCTTACATACGTAATGTAAAGGGAAAGCCCTATGAAGAAAGAAGGGGAAAATTAAGAAAAAACTTTTGCATATAGCCCAAATAATATTTTTCAGGAGAATTCTATATTTTATTTTTATGATTAAAATAACTGCCTAAAATTACTTTCAAGCTTTTGGGAGAAAAAATAAAGAATTTTAACAAAAAAAAAACAATTAGTAATTTAAGTGAATTTTAAAAAAAATTTAAGGAATGTATAAATTTAAGGAATTTATGCAATTTGTGTAAAAACAAATGGGCCCAAAAAACAAATTTATATATAAGTTCAAAATAATTTTTGAAAGTTAAAATCTAGGGAGCAATCAAAAATAAGAATGCAGTTCCTATTTCATTACTTATTATCTAGGTAATGTTTCTGCCGATAATATTCATCTAGAATAAAGTCTAAATATCAAGATTTTTAAAATTAGTTGAATGCTACTTGAATCTCCATTTGAATTAGAATGTTTAAAATTGTGTAATCGATGCACATACAAATATTTAGAAATTTCTTTTTGCATTCATGTTATCAATGACTTACTGCCAAAAGTATATATTTGAAAGTGAATCATATGCAGGGCTTTCATGGATCAGAGAGAATAGGGAAAACCTGGAATTTTCAGGAAAGTTTACTTTAACTCTTAAAAGTTGGAAAAATTGCATTTCTTTTTTTAAAATAAAAACCTGAATACTATACCTGGAAAATAACCAGTTTTAGCATTTAATTTTAATAACAGTAATCAGTAACAAAGATTTGAGTTAAATAATTCTAACATCTATTATAATTATTTTTCACATTTTGGTGACACTGCCATATTATTATTCTCATTGAATAATAACAATTTTTTAAAAAAAATAGAATTTTCAAACATTACATGTCCAGAAACTCTTAGAAAAACTTAAAAAATATTTACTTTTCAAGAACTGATTTTATTGAATCTCCTCGATTTTAATCAACAACATAGATTTTATTAGTATTTTTACAATTATGCTTTATCCCTACATATAAAATATATTACAAAACACTTATCCTTGCCATAAGAGTTCAAAATATTTTCTTTTAAAAATAATTTTAAAATTTTTTGGAGAAAAAAAAATTGTACTTTAGGGTACCACAATTTCAGTCATTTCCACTAACTTTTCTCATATTCCAGTTAAACTGACTGATATTTATCTGCTTTTTCAAGATGAGATTTGTTTTTTCCCTGTTCTACCTGATCTCCCTGTGCTGTAAACACCCTGATTTAATAAAAAAAAAAAACTTTTAAACTTAAACATAAAATTCATTTAATTATAAAAGAAAAAGATGCATAAGGTCATAATGTAAAGCGCCAATATCATCTTTCACACAGCCAATTTGTTAAGATAAATTTACTAAATTAATGGGAAATATTAATGTATTAAAAATTATTCATGAAGGAAAATAACAAAATATTATAATGCTTTCATATAGGAAATGAAATTAGTTTAAAAAAGCTGTGTTTTTTAAAAGTGCAATAATGCATTAAAAATTAATAACAAGACTAGCATGATCATTTAGTAAGACAACCAGCCATTATGTTCGATTTTTAAGCTTTAAATATATATATTTTATTTTTCATATTTAAGAAAAATATTGCTTATCAATACTTATATTAAAATTTTTCCAATTTTAACAAAAAAAAAACGTAACTCCATTACTTTAAAGGTAAAAATAAAGAAATAAACATAACAAAGGTTTAATTCAATAACCAAACAATTTCTAAAAATAAAAATAATGTCGGAATCAAGAAGAAGAATTATTTTAAAAAAAGTATTAAGAAGTCTTGACCTCTTAGATAGATTTCTAATCAATTTATCTTGGGAACTTAATTTTTAAAAACCTTTTTCTAGTCTATTGCAGAATCATCAGAAGGTTAAAAAAATATAAGATTTTTAAAATAAATTAATTAATATAAGATTTTTAAATCCATAAAACTAATATTTAGACATAAGGAATTTCACTATTAATGCATAATAATATGTGATGTATCACTTAGGAAGATTTAAAAGACCATCAGACTCTGAAGATAGTATATTTATATCAGGTAAAGAGCACTTGCAAATTATAATTTCAGGAGCTTAGTTTCAAGTAGATAACTGAGATTATTTTAATAGAATATCTGATCACATTTGACCAGTAACAGCCCTTCTTAAAGCAAAAATTTCACTGGCTTCACTCATCTCCTTCGCTCCAGCAAAATATTTAAGGTTAAGAATCTTGCAGAAACATGTTCTGAAACTCCCCAATGGGCAGACAGAGAAGAAAAACAACAATGACACTAGGGAAGCAGGGGGAAAAAGAATTTGCCCAATGACCACAATAATTATACTTAATAATAAAAACTGCATATAATTCATAAAAAAAATATATATATGTATATATATAAGTTACTGAATCATTGAAAAGCCTTGCCATCACAGTTAACAACTCTCCCCTTAAAGATAAATAAATAAAAAACCCAAAACATAATCTGGTGACTAATGTCTGTGGACTGACCTATTTGATATAGTTGATTGATAGTATTTTACAAATAAACAATGTAAAAGATTTAAAATGAGCAACAACAAAGCAAGTAAGGTGACAACAAAAATAATTCATTATTTATCTAAAGAAAAAAAAATAGTAGATGGAGTTTTGACAGTTTGAAAGAGATCAATTTATATAGAGAGAAATAAATATAAATTCATTATTACCATTCAAAATAAATTTATGATTAAAAAATTCATAATATATATAAAATTAAAAATATATTTAAGATAGTCAAAATTTGATTATAGTAAAATGAGTTCAGATAAAAACTTTTATTTTATAGCCTTTTGGATCATTAAAAGTTTTATCAATTTATTGAATAATATCTTGACTGAGAATTATGCAGTAAAGTAATACACCTTAGTAAGGAAATGAATAATGTTTCATCATAAAATGTAGTATAAAATATTTAAGTTACAAAAGAAAACTTTAAGGTTAGAACAGATTTAACAAATTTTTTATAACTTATTTTAGAAACCATCACTTAAATGTTAAGTTTACTTAACTTTCCATTTCAATCATTTGACAAATTAAATTTCCTTAAAATAATTTTTGACTTAAAATGTCTCTCAGTAAGTGTTCGATTTTAAAGACTCTAAATGTTTCTGACTTTGCTAGACGTCCGAATTAAAGCTTGTAATTCAATAATTAAAATTATTATTAGTTTATTGCTTTTTAAAACTACTAAGATTCCTCTTTCGCTAACCATGTGGTCTCATTCATATCTATATTTTTCCTTAAAATTTGATACTTTAAAATAAAGACACTTTTATTTAAATATATAATAAATATTATTTTATGTAAGAGCATTTTGTTAATATGGTAATCAGTACATAAAGAACAATTACTTGGATATAAAAAATAATCAATCGTATAAAAAAAAGAATGTGTGACAAAATACGAAGCAATAAATAAAAAGCAATTTCGCTTGTTAGCAATCTATAACATTAATCTGATATAAAATAACAGTTCAAAAACGAAACGGTTTTTATCTCATATATATTTGAAATTTCTTTTCTTTACAAAAATGTTACGCTTTATACCTGCAACAATTGGTTTCTTTTATTTATTTACACATATATATTTATATTTTACTTTTATCATCAGGTCTAGCATGAGCTAATAAAATGATGATCTCAAAAGAGATAAATTTTTTGGCAACCATGAATAAATAATTGCGATTTAAAGCAAAAAATGTAAATAATTTTTTTAAAAAAACAACTCAACTTTAAGTTTATAATTGAAAATAATCTTTTCTAAATCAACTCTGTAGTTACTTTTTTTCGGATGGTGGAGCAGCCTGTATGGTGTTTTTTCGAACAAGTTTAACATTTAATGATATTCAAATTACCAGACACTTAATTTTTTTCATTTCATTATACTCTACATTTCTTCTACACACCTTTGTAATTTAAAGTTTTTAAGTGTTATAGTTTTTACGCAGCAAAACAAAATGTAACGTTAAGTTGAACCCCCAAAATAGCAGATGCCCTCACGATTTTTTAATATAGAGAGACAAAGCAAATATAAAATATTTTTAAGTTATGTAATAAACAATTTACATATTTTAATAATTTTTAGCCTATTCCTCTTCATTGGCACTACAGATTAGTGCAGGCCAAAACTTTTTCAAAATGTTTCTCAAATCAAAGCAATTTGATACAAGATTTAGTCATCTTTTTCTACTTTCACGGTTGAGATCTTTCTTGACACAGTCCAACCATCTAGCTTACAGATGATCTTTTATCCCCTAATCACAATATTTTTTTTAAGAAACAAGAAATTTGTTTAATATAAAACAAAACTTAATGTTTATAATTGAATTGAATCCTTCTCCATTGTATAAGACTACAAATTTATAACTGAAAATTATACAGAAACATACTTTGTTTGCTAATTCCAACAAATCATTACTGCATCCAGATATAGTGCCTCCAGCTGCTTCTATTAATTTATGTAGGGTATTGGGCTCAGGACTTAAATCACGAGCTCCAGAATCAAACTCCCAGCTTTCATGTTTACCACTAGCACCATGACTACCTACAAGGTATATTTTGAAAAATAAATTACTCGAACAAAATTTGTAATTTATAGAAAAGGCAGTACATACATAAGAACACAGTAAAAATCGGTTATAATCATAATTAGCAATAGCATTTGGAATTGTTACAGTGAGTTAAATCCATGTAAATACACAATAAATAGCAAAAAAATAAAAAAAGAAGACTAAAAGATGAAATAGATACATTTGCCCGGTGGTCGTAAAAATTAATTTTTTTTATAGTTAGCTACAACTACTTTTTTTTAAAATGTAGAGACTACAAACTTCGTTCTAAATGAAGTCACTACTCTTAGGAGACAAACTTTGCAGGATAACTTAATTTACACCCGTGTTTGAAATAGTTTTGAATAAAAAGTTGGTTTATGTAGAGATAAGTTAAGAAATCTATTTATGATTTTCTTTCCAAAGAGATTAGAAAAATTAGTTATGCTTGAACCTTGTTTCTTTAAAGTAACACTAATAGTAGTTGCCAGGAATTGTTATAAAATGCTTTTTTTTTATCGCACTACTCACTACTTTTAAAAAGTAGCTAACTACACTAAAAGCAACATAGTTTTGCTACATGCAGCATGCAACATCTGACCACTGTTTACTTCCTTTTGTTTGAACAACTATTTTGACTTAAAACATTATCTATGGCATCGCCAGTTTTTGCCTACATATGACTGAACTGGGGATTTTTATAGGATGCACGATTAGCAATGAATTGAAGGGCAATATTTTTTGACATCATCAAGGAACCTGAATTTTAATATCATTCGTAAACTGCAAAGAAAGGAAATAAGAGGGCAAACATGGTTAAGGCACATTCTTTCGAAGTATAAGACAGGATTCTAAAAAGTAGCAGAATTTATCGTAACTTTGCTGGTGGTTGTCTAAATATGTTTGCTTTATATAGACTCAAATTGTAAAAAGGTGAAATATGTTCTTTTTTCTCTTTACTTTATTCGTAACAGAAACAAATAAAAATAACTGCCAGTTTTGCTAATCTCATAACATAGTTGTTTCAAAGAGCAGAAAAATGTGTTTCCCTAAAAAAAGATTGCAGCAGCTAGGAGACGGATAGTATTTTTTAGCTCGATATAAATATATATATTTTTTTATCGTAAACAGTGACTAGAAAACTTGTCATAATAGAAGGCTTTTTATAATGCAATGCACGTTAAATCTTATAATAATACAATACACGTTACACAATGTCTTACAATATGGTTTTCACTTCTCATAATGAATTACAGAGCATCACAGAGATCAAATACTCTATCAATTTTTTTTTTCATCTCTTACTACTACTGATTACACAAAACATTCCTCAGTTTTTCTTTTATTTTGAAAAGTGGTTTGCGTAAATAAAAAGATTGAGAAAAAAATAAGAAGATTTGAAAAATATTTAAAAAAAATCAAAATCTGATGAATCACTATTGAGGAAGGCAGTGCATTAAAACCACAAAACTAGTTAGATTGCCATTTACAACTTCATGTTATTAATTGATTTTCACCGTTTTTCAGTTTTTTCTGGAAATCAAACAGGATTTGTTGTTTTAATTAATTCTGCCTTCATTATTAAGGGTTTGCCAGGTATTGAGAACTTTTTTTTACGTTCTCTCACATTTAATTTGCAGACCCTAATGTAAATATGCTTGTGAGTTTATTTCAGACAATAATTCTAAAAGCATTTATGATGGGTGGTGATTATGAAACATCTAGTATTAAGTTACCTTGACTGTCACTGCTAGTGGGCCAATTACCAGTACTACTACTCTCAGGTGCAGGAGAGGCTTGTTGCATTGTTATGGAATGTCTACCAATGCTACTATGAATTGATTCATGTTCCCTCACTTGCTCCTGTAAAGTAAGGGCATTTATTTCATTTATAAGTTGCATTCTTCGTCTTAGGAATTCACTGTACGATATACGGCCGTGTTCATCAGCTCCAAGTTGTTCCATAATTTCTCCAACACAATGTTCAAGATTCAGCTGTCGACAGACAGCTAAAAGATCTTGGCTGAAAATAAAATTAAAATTGTTTTAATAACCTTATAAACAATTTAAAGAGATATAAAATAAAAAATTGTTGACAAATTGCAGCATACAATATTAAAAACAACACGAATAGAGAAACAATGATGTAAAATAATTAACCCAATAATTTTAGTATTTAAAATTTCTTTTACATTTATTTTTCTAGTAGTAACTTATATGAATAAATTACTACTTCAAAACAGGCAACAATTTTTCAAAAAGATCTTGTGCATACATTAATGTATAGCATTTACCAAAACTTTTCTGATTATAAACAGTGTTCGGAAAAACTACAGTTTTTTACAGTTAAGCAAAACTACCTAAATATATTTAACTACGACTACTTTAATACAAAGAAAGTTAACTACAACTAAAAATATATTTTGACATATAGTGACTAAAAACTATTCTTGAAAAAAAGTAGACACTACTTCACTACTTTTAGGCCAGGAATTGACTAGAGAACTTAATTTACACCAATGTTCAAAATAGCTTTGAATAATAAATTGGCTAATTTAAACACTAGAAATTATTAAGAAATATTTATTCATCTTTACATGAGTCAGTTTGTTATTCTAAAAGGTTTTTATAAATTTTTCCTTTTAACTTTCAACTTTTATGTCTTTCTTGACAGCTTTTATGAGTGTTAGGATCTTATTAGATAATTGTGATGTTGTTCAGTGTTTTATGCTTTTTTATTTCCTACAATAGAAAAAGTTAATTAAAAATATGTTCCTCTTTTTTATTGGGGAGAAATCTAAACAATTATCAAGGAGACATGTAATTACACATTTGATTTCGATTACAAGATTTCCAGAAACAGACCACTGCTGCCAAACTTAGTGAAATAAAAATACTTGCAGCTCTGGAGCCCATCAGATGCAATTCTAATTAATCTCAGCCACAGTGACATTCTCATTCCATTCATTGATATATTCAACAAAATTTGTACTGTTTAGATTTAAAAAATTAGCTCTGTTTGAACCTTGCTTTTCTACTAAACTGATGTTAAAATCAGTTGCCAAGGAATCACTAGATACTGCTACATTTTATTTATTTATTTATTTTTTTGGTATCACACTACTCATTACACTCCTTTTTTTACAAAGTAGCACAATACACTACAAAAAAGTAGGAAACTACTGTAGTTTCACTACTTGTGGCGCGCTACATTCGACAATTGGTTATTATAAGCAACAGCTAATTGAGAAATTTCTAGTAATTGCACTAGAAACATTTTTGTGCAACTTTCAGCTCCAATTTAGTCCAAGCTTTAGTTACAGGAAGCAGAACAAAGCACCAGTAAAAAATTTTTTTTAAAGAAATGAAAGAAAGGTTTCAGAGAAATTTTTTGAATAAATAGACAATTTTTTTTAACTGGTTGAAACCTATAAGAAATGCACTATAATTGTCTATAAATAAATCAGTATTTCCAAAAAACTAAAAACAGATAAGTAGTGCCCAATCTTTCTTGAAAGAAAATTAACTAGCATTTTTCAAGAAAAAAATTATTTTTGTATTGCTTAGGTGCTACTATCAGATTTGAAGGAGTGCAGAAAATTCTCAGCCTAATATTTCACCAGAACACAGTATTTTTGGTTTGAAATGACTTAAATTTATTATTACAATATCTTTCTCAAAATATTAGACAGTAAAGTTTGCATATTATTAAAACTTACGGAATTCAATTTAATAATTAAAGAAATTGAAATATATAGACAGATATAACAAAAAAATTTTTATTACGAGACACTTCATATTTTTCTTTCTTGAAGGATGCAGGATTTTTTTTCTGCAATGATAATTTTCCATTCAAATTTCTTTTATTTGTTATTTTTTAAAATGGGAACCTTTTGTAAAGTGTAATTTTTATACAAAAAAAAAAAACTTTGTAAAAATTATTTTATAATACAGCCAAAAATTCCCCCAGGGCTGTCCGAATTTAGCCCCAGAACCCAGAGCCGGATTATACCTTTCGTAGGCCCTAGGCACAGAGCCGGATTATACCTTTCGTAGGCCCTAGGCATAGCCGTTTTTGGGCCCCCATTTACTAAAATTT